GATTAAAGAAAAAATATGTATGTATGAAAACCTATTGAAATCCTAAATCTTAAGTCTTTCCAACTTTGTAGTATTTTTTCATGGTGACAATTTTAACTGTCTTTATAGAGATTTGTCGCATTCCTTTTTAGTAATTACTGGTAATTAGTGAAGCTCTTGTCAAAGTTTGCATATATTTGGCTCATTCCTTTTTCTTTTCTTTTTTATTCTTTCACCCTATACAAGGAAACATTTATTGATGTAATGAGACACTATATGCATTCCATTTTTTTTCCTCCACAGGAATTCATGATCCAGGAGGTGCTAAATGAAACAGGCCTGGAAGTGGTGGTGCTGGTGAAGGATCTGAACCACCACATGACTGCCTCACTTTCCCCCAAGGCTTTCATGCACAAGTTGCAGGTCTTAAGGGATATGGTGCAGGTAGGAACATAGAAGGAAAAGCACCTCAAGGATATATGTGTGTGTGTGTGTGTGTGTGTACACACACATGTATGTATGGTGTATATGTATAATTTTCATGTAGTTTCAAAGCCATTAGCACATTCACACCTTTAGAGGAAACAATTAAATGGCAGGTAGTGTATTGCATTTGATTTTATGATAGCTTTGAAAGTTAATACATTTTCTCATAGAGAGACCACTTGTTTATCAGTGTCAAAGTTGACATTATTGATTCTCTTGATGTTATGGCTATTCTGGTACCTAGGACATTTGTGCATAATAATTTACTAAAGGGAGTGGCTTGCACCTCTCTGCTTGCAGGGCGAGGAAGGAGAGGACGTCAGCCTGGAGATGGGGATGGCTTGGGAGAGGACAGAGGATGTGAACTGCGTGCCGGCCTTCATCAACAAGTTGCGCGATTCGTCGGCACTGGCCGCTCTCAACTCCTCGCTCAATTGCTCCATCAATGCCTCTTTCGCCCAGCAGAGACGTCCCAATAGGCGGAGAAGTGAGTTTGTTCTATTTTGCTTAATGTTTGTTTTTAAGTTATTTTACACACACATGCCCATGTACAGAAATGTATTTATTTGTTTGTTTAGTTATTTATTTATGTATTTGTGTATGTGTGTTTGCAAAGTTTTCCACCAAAATCATTTTAGAGCATAACACATTTTAGACTTGCTAAGAAGGACATCCCTTTTACTTCAAACTTATAACAAAAATGAGAGTGCCTTTTTTTCCCCTATTTCCAAATTTCACTTGCTGAATTTCAATTCCTAGTTGCTTGCTGAATATTAAAATTTTGTTTTTCAATATCTAGCCTTTCCTAGTATTTTCCTTTCTTGATTAGTATAAACATATGTTTTTTGCTTAATTGTGTCTGCTGTAAATACACTGGCTTTCTGCAGTTTTTGTAAAGTAATTTCTGATGTTAAATAGTGTATTTCTTGTGTTTATTAAGCTATACAATTTGCTTGGAAAGATAGTTATTGCTATTGTTGCTGTTATCAAATGTTTATACAAGAACTTTCTTGAAAATCATATAACATGTTTCTACAGTAGCTTTACATTAAAATCATTATCTTCATTTTCATACATCTATCCCTGAATGGTAAAACACTCTTCCGTGTTGATAATATGGTAGAAAAATCCACAACACAAAAACTAGGTTTATTGAAAAATGGGACTACATTTTAAAAATCCACTTGATTCCATCTTCAATTGTGGGTTTTTCTACCACAGCTATCTCTATTTGTCTTGCATGGTCAGTTTCCCAGGAGGGAAAATAAGTATGTGAAAGAAGTTTTGCATGTGATACTTTTGCAGATATTTTCCATACGCATATCAATGTCAGTTATATGGAAGCTATCCTGAGTGTCTACATTTTTATTTTTCCATGATCTTGTAATTTGGGCTTGTTGCAATATATCCAGAAATATTGTAACTATCACCATGCCCCAAGTTTTACCATATTGCCATAGGTTATTTCATGTTGAGACAAGTCATACAACAATGATTAATTGTTCTTTGTATTTCTTTCCTTTTTCTTCCTGTTCTTCTTCTTTCTTTCTTTCTTTCTTTCTTTCTTTCTTTTTCTTTTTTTGTTAGACATGGAAGAACACTAATAGAAAAACTTATCCTCAAAGGCAGCATTCTCTGTGCGGATCGAGGGAGCATATTTGGCAGTGGGGGAGGGGGATCAGGCGCCAGTGGGTCAGTGGCTGTCGCTGGCGCAATCCACCGCTCACTCATGAGCCTTCCTTCGTATGACCCCACCTCTCCAGCTGTTGATGCAGCTTTTAGTGCGGTGACTGACTTGCACAGTAATATACAGGTATGTTTGATTTCATAATGCTTATTTTCTGTTTTGTTTTTCTTCCTTCTCTTCTTGCTTTATTTATCTTCCTTCCTTTCTGTGTTATCTTGAAAGCGAATATCACTCAGTAAGTCCTTGTAATTCAAAAGTTTCCGTCTGGTGCAATGTGAAGGTGCTGTGTTCGATTCGGAGAAAGTAGGATCACAGACTCTCCCGTCTCTCCCACAGCGCATCAGAGACCACATAACGGAGCCAGGAATGACACTCCCTGATGACGAGTTCAGCGAATACCTGGTGAAGTTGCTGTGCGTCAGCCAGGCTACCAAAAGTTCCCTGTCGACAGTAGCTGCCATAAATCCGACAACGAATTGCAACCGCTGTAGCCAGTTGCAAGAGAAGATCAGGAAGGGGTCAACCAGAATAGCCTCTTCGACGAGTAGACTCTTTCAGGTAGGCTTTTTAAACGTCTCTGATTTACTTCTGTTCCGACTCTTCTGCCAGTGTGAGTTTTGGTGATAAGCAGGAAAATAAATCTTTAGAAACAGCATAAACAAGCATCTCACAAACCAACTTATACAGAACCACTTATACTCTTATCCTTTGTTCCATCCCAGCATACCAGTCTCACATATATGACATGCACTGATCAATGTCCTACACATTAATGAGCAAAATCAAGAATATTTTTAAGAAGATAATACTAAGTGAATCATCATAATGCAAATTGCCTTTTGTCCCACAGGGTGTAAAGAGTGAAGTGGAGAGCCTGGTTGAGGAGGAAAGCAGAACACTGTTAAGCGTATCAAAAGATATGGCCAAGGATATAGCCCAGCTTGCTCTCACTGCTTCATTACCCACGCCAAATGTCTCCAACTTGAATATTGGTAAGGAAAGCTTATTTTTTCATGGGTACACATCAAATTGAAACTCCCTTTTACATTTAATGGATTATCTATTAAGTATTGTCAATTTTATTTCTGCCTTGAATGCTGTATGTGCCTATGGGTTATGAATCACAGTATATGTAAATATATTAGGCTGGTTAAAGTATCCTCTGTTTATAGCATCATCAACTATTGCAGAGGGGGTCGTGTGCAAGAAGTTTGTTGAAGGTCTTCGGTCTGGCCTTGAATGGTTAGTCAAGCATTCTGCCGATACTGCTAATCACATCACGGAATTTTCTGATATTGCAACCATGAGTAATAAGTAAGTACAATGTAGTGCTTATAAGTTGATGAAAAGTTGAATGGTAATCATTTTATATCAGTTTCTTTGGTTTCCTCTAATTTTCATCAATGTTGCTCCATCATTTGAGTGTAATATCCCATGTTAAATAGCATTATTATTTTCAGTTCCAAGGACCCACTCTTGGCTGAAATGCACAAGGCAGGTTCTGCAGTATCTGCTTTTCTCAAGAAATTTGGCCATTTGGATGTGAGTTAAAACCTCTTTTCATTAAGATACTGGTAAATTTGTTTCTTTTCAGGATAATCAACATTAGATTTTTACACTATACCAACAATTTTGTCTTTGCATGCATCTCACTGGTGTCTCATTCTATTTGTGACATAAAATGTTGCTTTGTAGGTTGTGTTTAAAGTATATGTTTCTCTTTTTTTCTCATTTAGTTGTCATCTTTTATAAATATCTTTTGTGTGATGTTATGCCATATTGATGATCTCATTCATTGCATTATCTTAATGATTTTGTCTGCACATCATGTACAGTACTATATAGCCTTTTTCCCCTTCACTTTTTCTTTTCATATATATATTTTTTTTCTTTTCATTTTACTCCAGGCTGCCTTTGATTTATCAAACACTCTTACTAAGGAAGAGCAGAGGAGTAGGTTGAGTGAGTGGGTGACCAGGGTTGAACTGGCAGCTGATACCATCAATGAACTCAACACAGCCCTAGAAGAGATCTTGGGACAAGTCAAGATACACACACAAAGTAAGGCATTACTTCATGGCTTTAACAGTTTGAGTGGTAGTAATTGTTTTTTTAAAGGATGATTTTACAATACAGTTTTTAATTGAACCATGTATTTGTTTTTCTTCATGTTAATCGAGAAAAGGGGGTTAGAAACTAATTTTGATATATCTGTTGCAGGTGATACTGATTTTGATAAGCTTGAGGGAGCTGTAGAGGAGTTGAAGACAAGACTAGAGAAATTAATGTGCTTTGCTGGTCTTGGACCCAAGAACTCAGGAACTCTGAACAACTGTTCCTTCAGTTCCACCTCCAGCCTGGAGGACAGTGGTGTGTTCATGGACAGCCTCAGCACCATTGCTTGGAGAGCAGTCCAGGCCATTGAAAGTCTTCAGGCTGTCATTAGCCAAAGGGACTCAATCTCACATCCTGACAGCAGCAACAAAAATAAGGCCAGCATGATGCTAGGACACTGGCCCACCAATAGCAAAGAGTACATGGAATACCGCAAAGGACAAAGGAGCACGCAGAAGTCCCCGTATAAGAGTTCTCTCCGGTCGGCTACCAGTGTCTCTGGTGAGGAGAAGAGAGTGAGGTTTAATGTTAGTGTCTCTCCTCCTAGCACAGAGGGAGAGGATAGTCTAGATGTGTAGTTGTTACTTTACTCTAAGGAGAATTGATGTAAAATATATTTATTCCTGTATTTTATATGACTTCTTGCTTGTGTGTTTTGATATTTTGATTGTAGCAAATGGACTGGATGCGAACAATATATACTTCTGACATTTTATGCAGAGACTGATGAGATATGAAGGGGAAATTAGATTTTATTGGATTTTTCATTTTACTCCAGGCTGCCTTTGATTTATCAAACACTCTTACTAAGGAAGAGCAGAGGAGTAGGTTGAGTGAGTGGGTGACCAGGGTTGAACTGGCAGCTGATACCATCAATGAACTCAACACAGCCCTAGAAGAGATCTTGGGACAGGTCAAGATACACACACAAAGTAAGGCATTGCTTCATGGCTTGAACAGTTTGAGTGGTTGTAATTGTTTTTTAAAGGATGATTTTACAATACAGTTTTTAATTGAACCATGTATTTGTTTTTCTTCATGGTAAGGGAAAAAAGGGGGTTAGAAACTTTAATTTTGATATATCTGTTGCAGGTGATACTGATTTTGATAAGCTTGAGGGAGCTGTAGAGGAGTTGAAGACAAGACTAGAGAAATTAATGTGCTTTGCTGGTCTTGGACCCAAGAACTCAGGAACTCTGAACAACTGTTCCTTCAGTTCCACCTCCAGCCTGGAGGACAGTGGTGTGTTCATGGACAGCCTCAGCACCATTGCTTGGAGAGCAGTCCAGGCCATTGAAAGTCTTCAGGCTGTCATTAGCCAAAGGGACTCAATCTCACATCCTGACAGCAGCAACAAAAATAAGGCCAGCATGATGCTAGGACACTGGCCCACCAATAGCAAAGAGTACATGGAATACCGCAAAGGACAAAGGAGCACGCAGAAGTCCCCGTATAAGAGTTCTCTCCGGTCGGCTACCAGTGTCTCTGGTGAGGAGAAGAGAGTGAGGTTTAATGTTAGTGTCTCTCCTCCTAGCACAGAGGGAGAGGATAGTCTAGATGTGTAGTTGTTACTTTACTCTAAGGAGAATTGATGTAAAATATATTTATTCCTGTATTTTATATGACTTCTTGCTTGTGTGTTTTGATATTTTGATTGTAGCAAATGGACTGGATGCGAACAATATATACTTCTGACATTTTATGCAGAGACTGATGAGATATGAAGGGGAAATTAGATTTTATTGGATTTATTAGATGCCATTAGAAGTGAACCATTTGTCAGTGAATACCCATTAGAGCTGCTTGAATTTACTAATACATTACCAGTAAATTCATCAGCTTGTGTGCCATAGTATTTTGATGTTCAAACTGTAAGTTTCCTCTTAAAGATGTACATTGAGCTTCATATCTAGTTTTAATTAGTATGCAAGGAATAGGGAGAAACTTAAATTACAAAATTAAACCTTTGTGAACTTACTTTACAATGGATACCTGTGTAAGTCATTAGTCAGTTTAAGTTGTGATTCTTATTGTAAAACTTGTCTGCAGATCATGTACAGTAAATATTAATGCACTCTCCATGAAGAAACAGTGTTGATAACGCAAGTGTCACATACAGTGTTAAAACATAATTTTGAACCCACTTTTTGGATGCCGGTGTTAATACACAAAACTTAATGCTAATATATGTGTACAGGGAAAATGACAAAACAGTTTACTACTTTGCCAGAAGAGAATCCATTTTAAAAACCTTTTAGTTTGTACGCTTAAACTTGTCTCACATTCCGTTTTTTTTTTTTTTTTTTTTTTTTTTTTTTTTAATTGTGCTGTTGAGAAGGTAGTTGTGAAGTCACTTGATCACTAGATCATGCTTGAAATGTGTTTTCATTTAAGGTCATTACTTATTAGTCCTTTGACTTGTGAAGGACAGTAAATGAAATCAGTTTCTCTGCATTCTTTTGGTAAGTTATATTTTTCATTTTAATTATATAATAAATATATGGGCATCAGCTGCATTAATGGAAATGTTTTGTTTGTCCATAATACTCAGCCAAAGTGTAGAAAATACCTGTTACTAAAAGTTAATTACTTATTTTGTGTGTCTTGGAATCTTCCATGTGGGTCATTGTAATGATCATGAACAAGATTGCTTGAAAATTATTTACTGATAGAGTGTATGAATATAATTTATGTAAAATATATAGGAAGTGATTATTGCATGAGTTTGAATATCCTTTTAGAGTTAAAGTGAAAACATCTCTTCCAAAAATGTGTTCTTGGTTAATGCAGACTGTTTTGTGTTCTTAAGTCCCATCCACATGATCAAACACTGTCCAATTGCCACTCACAGAAAGCCTGTTGTTTTGGCAAAAGAGATGGGAAAATTAATCAAGCGCCTGAGTGGAATTACCAGATAAAGCTGCTTACTGAGATTTTAACTGTTTGATGTTGGGTATGGATGGACAACCCTGCCAGACATTAGCAGCCCCACTTTAGGACCACACAGGTTTTATGTCCTCTTTAACATAATTGTTAAATAAGTTTTGTTGTTTCTGCTATAATACTTTATCATAATGCTCCCAATAACTCCTTCCTAACCCATTTCACTACTATACTTTACCATAGTGCCATATGACTTTTGATGTCATATAGCACTTCCTTACCTGTTATGACAATTAACCAGTTCGAAAATCCACAAACATTGCCTTATTGAACAAAGAAACTTCCTTACCTGGGGGCTCTGTCCCCAAGCCCAACCTATTGCTATATTTTGTATAAGCTGGTAATAACCTTAGATGTTGACACAGCAAAAAAATTCCAATAAATGATAAATAACAACTTATACCTTATATTATACCCCATCAGAACCCCCTCTCTACCCTTTTCACTGCCATACTGCCCTCTAGTATTGTTCAACCTATAACTTTACCCTAATCATTAACTCATTCCTAACCCTTTTCTGTACTATACTTTACCTGGGGCTTTGCCCCCAAGCCTCACACTATTACTATATTTTGAATACACTGCTAATGACCTTGGATGCCAACACAGCAGAATTTTTTCCATAAATAGATTAATTTTCCACATTGCCCAGTTTTACAAATAGTATGATATCAGTTTCAGAATAAAGTATGGTTTCTTAGATGCATAAGAATTACCATGCCATTACAAAAATAAAGCAAAAACAATGCTAGAGCAAAGGTAGTTTTCTCAATGAAAGAATTTGCAACTGTAAAAGCTTTATTCAATCCCCACCCTCAGATTATGATCACTGGTCAACTGACCAGAAAATCTAATTATAGTTTGAAGTTTCTAGTCATGGTATTAATGTGATTACTAGTGAATAAGAATCATGATTATGAATTCATGAAAATGTAAACTTGAGAAGAAGCAGGTACTACGATAAAAAAAAATGTGAATCAAATACTGTTATTAATTATGAAAGATGATAGTCCTGTCAGCTAGCCCACTGCCCATGTTTCAACACAAACAGATAGTCAATCTTTCAATTAAACTTTCCCCATCACATATGCTGACATTAATGTAATTAATGATACATGTAAATAATCATAAACTAATGAAAGCTGTAAATATGAGCATCAAATAATATTACTCATACTGTGAGTCAAATATTATTGTTAATTATCAACTGTGATATAGCTCTGTCAGCTGTGCAATTACAGATATCCAGAATGAACACACTATAGATTACAATAAGTAAACAAGTAATAAAGATAAAAATGGTAATGGTAGTAAAAGTAATATCATAATAATAACCATCATGGTTAGATAAAAAAAAGTAAAAAAACATCATAGAAAATCCTACAACTATATCAGTTGTCTGAATATGTCAACTGAAACACAGCTGCTTGATGAAACCTCTACAAACAAACAGTAATAATCATAATGTCCTCTCTTATAATCATTACTATAGTATATTGTTCCTGTACTTCATATCTGAGAAAAAGAACACTTAAAGAAATGTGAAGACAGATGAAGCACCACCCACAACATATTCAGAACAGCAGTTATCCATTTAAAAAATCTGGCCTGGGATCTCACAAAATCAAAGTTTGCATTTCACTCCAAAATAGTAAATGGTTAAAACAATTACGTGTGCTAGACATTAAAGGTCATAAAGCACTATCGAAAAGCGCAGTAGCAAAAAGAGATTTCATGAAAATACAAAATACTCAAATTAAATTTCATCTGAACTATCAGCACTGGTTCTGTTGTTCCACAGCAGTAACATGTTAAACAGCCCATTGTTTTCTTACTCATTACTTTTGGTTTGCAATAAAACTTGTGATCAGTGTCAAGATACTATGAACCTTTAACCATAGTATTCTCACCTACTTGCTTTGCCCAAATATGTGGAGGATATATATATATATAGTAAACACTTGTTCTTTTAGATATGTCTCAGTGTATTACAATTCCCCTTCAGAAAATTCTTAGTAATTTTTCCTGTCCCTCTAAGTAGCAATCAGATCATAGTATTCTTCCACAAATTGGCATAATGTTCTGTTTAGCAAACTCTCTTGAAAAATTGATAAGAATATCATTATATTGTACACACATTTCATTATAAATTAAAGAAAAATAAATGCATTTCTTCAAGTTTAGACATATGTACACACACACACACACACACACACACACACACACACACACACATATATATATATATATATATATATATATATATATATATATATATATATATATATATATATATATATATATATATATATATATATGTATATATATATGTATATATATACATATATATATATATATATATATATATATATATATATATATATATATATATATATATATATATATATATATATATATATATATGCATATATGTATGTATGTATATGCATATATTACATACACACATAGGTAGAGAGAGAGAGAGAGAGAGAGAGAGAGAGAGAGAGAGAGAGAGAGAGAGAGAGAGAGAGAGAGAGAGAGAGAGAGAGTGAGAGTGAGAGAGAGAGAGAGAGAGAGAGAGAGAGAGAGAGAGAGAGAGAGAGAGAGAGAGAGAGAGAGAGAGAGAGAGAGAGAGAGAGAAAATAAACAAAAATAAAGCACCAGCTATCTTTGGGATGCTTTAAATTTTTGACCAAGACAAGCATAACAGTTATGAAGCCGAGATTCAAATGTAGACTAAAATCTGTATCTATTTCAGCTAGTATGTCATATGCATCATATGTTTAATACTTTTTTATTTGAATTAATGCAATGGTGAGATAATGTTTAAAGAAATTAAAGCTATCGACTTTTCCACTCAATTTTCCAAAGCAGACACATACACACCATATCCACGTCTATTTCAAAACAAGGGAATAGCATGTCATCTGGCAAAAAATCAGCTGATAATAGCATTTTTAAGTTTTCAAAGTTCTTGATGCATGTGTTATTCAGTCGGAATAAAGTGCACTACAGCAAGTTTCAGAGTAAATCTCACTCAATAAATCCCATACACTACAGAATTCAGATAAAGAAATATATTTGTATAAAAAGATTTATTGAACTTCCACTTCTAAACATACATAATAAAAAAAAAAATGTACAAAGAACATAACATACTATCAAAAAGTTAAACAGCGACAAAGCATTTCCATTCCATTGTGTAATAAACTATCATTATATAAAATACTACAAGTTACAATAATTCTAAGATGAAGAAAAGAATAAAACACAAGTAGAAAAAATTAATAATAAATAATGAAGGACATCAGCATAACCTGAGGAAGTTTTTTTTGTTTATCACTTAGCAAAATATCCAAAATTGAAAATAAATTACTTAAATCTATAGCCCTAACCTATAACTGTTTGAACCTTAACATTCTTATTCTTATGCTCTTCATAAAAATGTTGGAAAGGAGACAGGAGATACTCCTGCAATTTCTACTCCTCTGAAGATGATGAAAAAAGATGAAAAGCAAATATATGTATCTGTTTGTACAAGTATACATACATGTATGGGTGTGCATGTGCCCTCTTTGTGTTTGCACATGCATGTTTTCCCCTACGTGAGCATGTATATCTGGATTTCTGTGTGAGTATTTGTACATATATGCACTTATCCATGCATACATAAATATATAAAACAATAACTTACAAGGTAAGGAATAAACCATCAGCTCTGTTACTGACTCCCTGATGAATAAAATTTAAAAGATTATCCACAACAATAAGAACATACTTCTCTCCGTCCTTGCACACACACAATTTTCACTTGGCAGTATTGTAAAAAGTCATTATCAACACTAGTCATTCAAACTATCATATGCTACCTCACAGCATCTCTCAGATTTTTAATTTCCAAAACTATAATCCATGAAAATAACTTAAGAACATCCTATTGTTTAAAGTCAGTGGAGGGTTTGGCAGCCTCTTCTTTGTCTTACTATGCATCAGTGTAAATGGCCTAGAATCACCATGGTTCTACCTACAAAGAATTGAATTTCCTATGCTTTACAGTATGAAGGAGTACTTGACTGTCTCTTTTCTGTTTTCTTCAAAGCATCAATGTAGATGGCCTTCAAACTCTTGAGATGAGGCAAGCTGTGTTCCAATCTGAAGGGGTTCCGTTCTTTCTCTATCAGGACCTGCTCTGTTTCGTAGAGAACCTTGATCACCTGCTTGAGTTCTGAAGACGTCAACATAGATGAGGCTGATGGAACTTCTTGGTCATCGTCATCTTCTTGTGAGGCCTTAACCTGCTCTGCCACTTCTTCAGCTGTCAGTTCTTCCATGTGGGATTCCAAGTGTTCCATGATGTCTTCTTCGGTGATGTCGGCAAAGCCCCGCCCAGGAATCTTGTTAGCAAGTTCTATGATCTCCTGGATTTCTCTGGTGATATTTGGGAAGCCAACAAAATCATGGATGCTGTGAGGACACACATTTCTCCATATTTCATTGAAAACTGGAATTTCAACGGACATCCAGCTGTCCCTAATGTTAAAGAGGGCCTCCTTCATGCTGTAGTTTGACCAGAAACTCTCAACTAGTTCTTCATCCCTACCTTCTGTGAAGAACATCAACTTCTGCAAGACGGACTTGGTATAAATCCTTTTAAACTGTGCTATAACACCCTGGTCCACAGGCTGTAAAAGAGAGGCAATATTGTTTGGCAGGAACATGACTTTGATATTTGGATGAAACTCATTAACAAGTTCAGGCTGGTTGAGGACACTG